TGCTCCAGCTGTGGGATCTTTCCACGACTGGCTTTTAGCTGTCTTGCATTTGTTTAATGAGTACGATAAGGGCTTAGCGTTCCATCTTTTATGGATGATTTGGTCTGCACGTAATGCTAAGGTTTGGAAGGGAGTGAGACGCTCTCCCTTGGAGGTCTGGACGCGGACCTACAGAGACTATGAAGACTGGTGGAGGATGCCAACCCCTAGGAATTCCACAACGACTAATCTTAGAGCTGAACCTGGTGCAACAAAGGGATGGGAGAGGCCACCGGTGAATTATTTAAAGGTGAACGTGGATGCCTCATCAGGACTTGTTGATAGGTATGTAGGCCTGTGTTTTATTGTGCGAGATTATGAAGGCCGATTCGTAGCTGCTAAAAGTATTAAATGTAGAGGGAGTTTTGGTCCACGTGAAGCAGAAGCCATCGCAGTTAAGGAAGCACTTAGTTGGATTAAAAGTAAAGGCTGGAAACAAGTCCTTGTGGAAACAGACTGTAAGGAGGTTGTCGATTCACTTAATAGTACTATCATGGACTGGTCTTACTTTAACTCTATCATTGAAGATTGTAAGCGTCTCCAAATGCTCTGTGCAGGAGACCTTAATTTTTGTTTTACTCCTCGCTCCGGAAACGAGGCAGCGCATTTGTTAGCGCGTAGTAGTTGCAATGATGATGTTGTAGGGGAGTGGTTTGACACACCCCCAAACTTTATTCCTTTGATTTCCTAATTTAATTATTTTGTTTCAAAAAAAAATCAACAAACATTCATAATTCAAGAGCTAATACTTCTTCCAATCGTACTCCCTTTCATCATTTATAAAATATGCGTTATTGAGAGTGTAAAATATGCTTTCTCTAGACTGTAGAATTTTATTAATTCAAACCAAATTTTTAACAGTTTTTACTTGAAAATAATCTTGTCCAATGTTCATTGCATTTTATTGAAGAGTTGGTGTGCCTCCTTATTCGGGAAGAGAGACAACACAAACTTTGCCTACAAATGCAAGGTATTTTTAACTTTAAAACAAATCTAGTACCAAGAATACCCAAATCCCTTAAAAAATCAAACTCAAAGAATGCCAAGAGAGCTACTAATCTCATATTTCAAGCATAAATTATGATATGCTAACACAAAACTATGCATTTAGGGTAAAGTGAATGCTACCTTAAAAGACCTGCTTATGCTACCTCAAAAGACCTTCAATCATAAATAACTCCCCTTCCAAGTGAAGGAAAGCCCAAATCTTGCTTGTTTGGTTTCAAAATACTGTCATGTATTTCAATCTGCCTACATTAAAAAAATGGTTGTGAGTCTATGACAGGGGATAAAATGGCTAGAATGAAATAATCCAAAAACATAGGACCCACTGCCAAGTAAAATATCCTCAAAAATGTATGTTAGTAGAATCCAGACATCACAAAAAACAAAAAAAAAACAGAATTTTGAAGAACACGGCATCACCTATGAACTGCCATCTTCAACAGAACTAACCTCCAAGAACTAATGTACATCAGAGTGATGGCAGTCCCAACATATTACTATATTCTAGTAGTTAAAAAATTGAAATATCTAACCTAATCCCAGTTTTTGAGGAATGTAGACGTGAGTTACCATTTTCAGAAGATCAAAAATTTGTAGAAGTTCAAGTAGAAACTACACTATTTTAATCCAAATTATCAGAAAAATATGGAGTATACATAAATATATCAAGTTACCAACAGATATGATAAAATATGTCAAGCTGAAAAGGGAGTTATTTTCATCAAATGTTCTCTTTGACATTCGAAAAGATTCTTTTTTCAGCAATATTGAAACCTCAATATAAAAAGGTTCATCCATTTAGTTTGTTCTATGTTACTTTCTTATATATGAATAGATGAAAGGAACAAAAGAGCGAAGTTGATATACCATCTTTATCAATAATATTTGAATAAAGACTAATATAACACTGAATAAACCAAAGAAGTATCTTTTGAGGACTTCACATTAAAAACTCATGTGAAGTTCATTAGGGCATTTTATCAAACAGTTGGTGTGCCTCCTCATTCGAAATTAGCTACAACATAGCATGAGCATAAAAATCCCAAGTATAAGATATTTTTAACTTAAAGTAACAAATGTAGACATAGGACCCCCAAGAATACACAAATCTTTTTTTAAAAAAAATTGAACCCAAACACCACCAGTTCAGCAAGTAAGGTCATAATTGAAGCTTAAAACATAAGTTTCTAACACAAAAGTTCAAATGGAAAACTTTGTGATAGTTTCCATTCATGGTGCAGCTCGGATCAAAATCTTGCTTATTAACTTTAGCCTAGATTTTTATACAATGTAAATGCCTCACCTAGCTGCTTCAACCTAGCCCGTTTATCATTTATGGTGTAGCTCGGATCAAAATCTTGCTTGCAAAATTCTGCACAAATTGTAGAAAAACAGAACACGGCATCACCTATGAACTACCATCTTCAATAGAACTAAACTCCAAGAACTAATGCACATCAGAGTGATGGCAGTCCCAACATATTACTATATTCTAGTAGTTAAAAAAACTGAAATATCTAACCTAATATTAGTTATTACTTCATCTTTCCTAGCATTATATCTAAAGAGGTGGAATTCAAACAACACTAAAATTATATAAAATAAAAAAAACCTTAAAATCAACAAAAAGAAGAAATTGAGATGGGTTATTCTTAAAAATACAAATATCAACAAAACTGGGTTGACTTCCAAGAAATTTTGATTGGATTGAAAATCCAACACCAGATTCTGAAAGAGCATAGCTAATCGCTCACAATCCATCAAAAAATTCAACTAAAATATTCAAAACAGAGCTGAATACAAACCTAGAGTATCTCAAGTGAACAGTAACCGCGAGAAAACTTCAAAATCTGGAACCCTAGATCTTACGACATTGTACTTCCTAGTCAATGCCATCAAAGACAGCTGGATAATTCCACCACGGAGCCTCAACACCAGATCCAGAGTAACCTCTGTTAGAATCCCAAATCAAGCACCAACAAAGATTAAATTCCACAGTGATTGAATCCAAAAAGGTGTCAAGAACAAAACCCTAGATTAAACGTTTACCTTTTTAGATGTTGTAGTCGGCAAGGGTCCGGCTGTCTCCAAGCTACTTCCCGGAGAAGGTCAATCTCTGCTGATCCGGCGGAATTCTCTACACGCTCTCTTCGTACATCTAATAAAATACGGAGTCCAATATCCAATATTCACTCGGAATCCGTAAGAGTATGAGGGAAGCTTCGCCAGTTTTTTATTGGATTGTGCGGTCCAAATTTCCGATTACTGTAGCTTATCAAATGGGCGGGAACACTATTCCTAAAGTCCTCTTACAGTATATAGAAAGATGTCATGGGAACCAGCCTCGGTAAGGTTATGGGTAGTGTGTATTTAAGATTAAAACATAAAAAAAATATTCCTTCCATCCATAAATAAAGTTCTCGTTATGCATTATAATGTTTGATTGAAGTTATTTTTCAATCATTATATATGAAAAATTGTGTAGAATAAAAAAAATAAAAATTACTCCATCCGTCCTAAAACTTTCTTCCCACTTCCCCTTTTTCTCCGTCCTAAAACTACCTTCCCATTAGAAAAAAAGATGACAAATGACATTAATACCCTCATGTATTTACAACAATTATCTTTTAACTTTATATTTTGAATGATTGTAAAAAAAAATTCAAAAAATCTTTTTTTAAGGAAGTTAAAATTTGAATTCAAAGCCAAAAATTACTCCCTCCGCAATTTTAACATGGTATTAGAGCAGGTCCAGGTCCGGGTTCAATTATTCATGGTTGTTGGACGTGGGTTTAGCAAAAAAAGTTACTCGTCTATGGTTTAGATTGAGTTGGCAATAAGAGAATGAGAAGTCACCGCCCCCCGTTATGTGGGATGGCTAAAAGAGATTGAGATGCTAAACTCGTTTGTTCAAGTGATAACTACACATGTTTAGTTACAACTTGAGGGGAGTGTTAGAGCGCATCCCACAACGGAAGTCTAATAGAAAAAATAATGGGTATATAAGCTCTTGACTTTTACTAACTAATTGATTGGATTCAATATTTTAATGTGGTTTAGCCCAAATGTCTTATTGCTCAATCTAGTTGTTCTTACCCTCATCCTAAATATAATTCTATCATGGTATTATATAAAACTATTTTTGGGTAACAACCACAAACTTGGGCTTTTGGTTCATTTAGTTTTTTGACATGATATCAGAGCCTTAACGACCAAGTGGTCACGAGTTCGAAACTTAACACCACTCAATTTAAAAAAATTAAGGTTTCAGGTACAAGTTTCAAAGAATTCATGCCTGCATGTGAAGCAGCGTGTTAGAGTATATATATACAAATCATTTCTAGGCCACAGCCACAAGGTTGAGCTTTTGGTTGAGTTGGCTCTTTAACACTAATTTTTAAAATAAGATAATTATATTGTATTATTTTCTTTAAGTTGACTCCTAGTTTCATCCGTTTCTCGTTAAATAAAAGTTTTATCCATTACGTAGTACGTAGTATTTCTTAATAAAGCTTAGGATAGCTCAAGTTGCACACCATTTTTGACATGTTTGAAAATAGTGTTAGAGATTAACGTTTTGGATAAAATTTTAACGGTGTAGATTACTTTTAAAGCGTTATCCATAGATAACTTATTCAAAACGCTTAAGGCTATTGGTTAACAACCTCTTTATATACTAAAGGCAAATATACACACACAATTAAGTGAATACATCAAATTTATATGGATAAACTATTTGTATCTTAAGAATTTGTACCTCATTTGTACACCGCAGGAATGCACCAACATTTTGTGTTGGTGTAATGCTAATTTTTTGTTAACGCACCAACACTTTGTGTCAGTGTGAACCATCAAAATGTTGGTGCATACATTTGGTGTACAAATGAGGTACAAATTTTGGGGTACATGTAGCATGCTCTAATTTATATATACTCGATGTTTTGAAACTCTAATTTTTAAAATAAGATAATAATATTCGTTGTAAATTAAATCTATATAATAAAAATGACACTTCCAACTTCCTTAAAAATGATGTAGAAAAAAAATGTCTGGTGAGCTAGGTCAATTGGTTAAATGGTGAGTGCCAAAAGAGATAAATCTTGATCGATTTCAAACAACGACGATAAAGAATTATCATGTTTTACATGAGATTCTTGCAGGTACTACGAACATGTCTCACTTTTTTATATAACGTGTCTCACTTCCTATAAAAAAATTCATATACCTCCTTAAAAAAATTAAAATCTATCCTTTTTGATCTTTTTTAAATTGTATGTTTTCATCTATCTTAATCTAACTTGTATATGAATTAGTCCACATTTTCTTTTTGCCTAATCCCTACGAGTAGAATTTTACTTATTTAGTAAATAACTAAGGATAAACTTACTATTTTTCTCGAGTGCTTCTTTGGTGCATATCATTTTTGTAGACCTTCTCATATAAAAGTTTTTTTTATTTATTTTATTAAAAAAAATATTTAAGTAGTAAAAAAATATTTATTTTGCTCATATGTGGGTCCATGGTGGACTTGAAGTCCACCGTCGACTTTGCCTTTTCTCTAAGTACTTTACATTTATTGCACCCAATTTATCTAACCAAACCCTCATTTATTACAAAAATGTTGGGGCATATTTGTAACTTTCCTTTTTTCCATTTCTATGGTCTTTGTGTAAAACTGTTAATGTCTAGTAGTCCTGCATCCAGAACATCATCTTCCGTCTCGCTGCTCTCCGGGAGTAGCTTAACAAATACCTGCGTGCAGTCAAAGACAACAAAAACTGCACGCTCAGTTGAAAGTTGAGTAAAAATATGTCTAACACAAGGATTATATCATAAATAGTATCACATTTCATACATAATAGGCAACAACAGTGAGTAGAGAATATTATTGTTCAAAGTAAGGGATTCAGCATATCTAATTTAGTTCCTCACAACAACCTAGCATTCAACCTGCATCATTAAGGCCAGACTAGAGTTATGAATGCTCGAATGGATCCGTTGAGGTCGGTGCTCAGACAAACCCAAAGAGAATCCTCAATGGCAGGTTGGAGTCCCTACCGAGAGACCCTTAGGTAGGACAGTGACTCTCGTACGTATGTTTAGAACGCTAGGCCACTGGATATGCAGACATGCTCCACAAGGCCCGAACTTAACAAATTTCTATTGGTGTCTAAGATATCCAATTCAGTTCAGATCTGCTTAGGTATACTAGGTGGTCTTTTTTCAACAATAACACCAATAACGACAATAAGATTATAGCAATTCGTATAATCAGAACACTACAATCAGCGGCCTATTTGAAGAACCATGTCTCGCCGATTACCGCTATGCTCAAACAACGAGATAAAATCCATAAAACACTAACACTATGTTTGGTTCAAGGAATTTGAGAGGGAAAAGAAAAGAAAGTGAGAAGAAAAATATTTTTCTTGTTTGGTTAGAGATGAAAAGAAAAGAAAAGTGGAAGGAAAAGAAAAAGAGAAGGCAAAATGTACTAAGAGGAAGGAAAACCAAATTTCTCCAATTTTGGTGAGGAAAATGAAGGAAAACCATTTTTTTTTCTTTTCCTACCAAATTCCTTAAACCAAACATAGTGTAAATAATCTTACATGTATTGAGAATTCATGATCGGGGACTATCCGCAGGCCTGCTGCACCCGCCAAAACAATATAATAGCTACTGAATCAGCCTTGCAACCCACCAGACCAACCAGTCAACCCCATACCCGAACCCCGGCCGCCAAGTGGCTATCCATTGAACAAATGGCAACCCCAATTAAGCATGGACAGACCCAATTGAACACAATAACCCAAATTAAACCCAATTTTGAGCCCATCGAATCCGTTTCACAATAAGTCCAACGATATGGCAACTCCACTATTCGCTTCGTTCCATTATCTAGATAAACCTATTAAATTATATTAGTATAAAATAGGAACTGATAAAGTTAGATTAATTTGTGAATTCGTTTAGTTCCAAAGGCCTAAATACCAAAAGGGTCAAATTGTAAGAGCATCTCCAATGGATATGCTAAAAAATGGGAAGCTAAATGTTATTTTAGCTTCTCAATAGTTATTTAGCATTCTACTTTTCCACCACTTCTCCAACCATATCATTTATTTTAAAATTTTTATAATATGTAAGAATTATTTTTTACATTAATATTTTTCTACTAAATTTTCTATATCAAACACAACTTTGAGTTATGTTCAAACACAGCTTGAGAAGTAGAAAAATTTATTAATACGGAGTATTTTATCTATAGCATATGGATAATGATCATCAATATATAGACAATGTAAAATAAAAAATAACTAATGCTCTAAAATGTGAATGACCCGTTGGAGCTATACATTAAAGTTTAAAACTTTTATTTTTTAGATTATAACATAAGTGGCGAGATTGCTAATTCCCTTTAATTTGTTTTAAAACCAACTGCGGCGATTGCACCATCCACCTATCCAGCACCAGTTGACGAGCCTCTTCCGGCCGCAGTGGCAGCGGCTTCCAACAGCCAGGCAGCAGGGTAACCGAACAGAGCAAGCAGAAGAAGAACAGAGGAAGTGAACGAACAGAGCACAACATGGACGAAGAGAATCAAGCCCAAATCCAAATCACTCTTTCACTTCGAATTGTATTCAACAATATGATTCCAAATTTTCAATAACTAATACCAGAAATTCAACTCCAATTGAATGAAAATATACTGACCAATCCTAATCTACAAATTAGTTCTAACAAGAGATAAATCACTCACCTCAATCAGTTAATCAGCTTAAAATAATTTTTAATCGACAAGCAAGAAGTGAAGACTTTTTTAAATAGAGCATAATAGAGCATGTATCCATCATTTGCTTATAATTAGAATTTCAACAAGCAACTGCCCACTAATTGCTGCTGCCGAAAGATCCCTGAAAAATAACAAAAAACAAATTACACAAGCATCAATAAATTTGAAGTGGCCATTACTCCCATATAATACGTAGTAAATAATTCATTAAGCATTACTAATATGAAGTGGCATTTACCACTTACTACTTTTTCCGTCTCTTAAAACATTTCAAAGACGGGAAAAATACCCACCCCATACATGTGTAATTTTGATGTTGTTTTTTTAATTTTGCCCCACCTTTATAATAGGGTGGATATTACGCGTAGAATAGACGAGTCATAGCGAGAAAATAAAATCAAAATCGCACATTTTCACAACACCTTTTTCGTCTTTCAAAAAAGTTTTATGTGACCGAGTAAGTAGTATTCAAATTTGTCTTCTTCCACTCTTGTTTTCTTTCCGCCTCTAACTAAACAAGAACAAAAAATGTTTTCCATCTCATTTCCTCCTCCTTTTTCAAAGGCCCTACAACCAAACATAGTGTAAATGTCACAAAGAATGAGCGGGCTTATGGGGACGCCCACACAAAGCATTAGAACATGTCATGCTGTGTTGTAAGCAGTGTTATTAGAACCTGACTGGACCAGCCTAAACCTGGTTTGACATTGACCCGCCCCAAGCCGGTAAACCCTGCAAACCGGGTCGACCCATCTAGGCCACGCACGGGTTTGGGCCAAAAACCTTTTCTTTTTCTCTAATTCATTTACAGAGTAAAATGATACAAGTAGGTTCGAACCCAAGTTCTAACACACAACACTCCAACACTCAAACCACCTGTACCACTAAACAATTTGTTACCAATGCCTTGCAACAGAGTATATATTGTCTTTATGATATATGAGTGGTACAAATTATGGAGTATAATTTAAAAAACAAGTCAAAACTACGTGTAAATTAAAATGTGTTTGCAGTGTATTTATTTTATAAACTTTCAACGTAAAAATACACATTATTTGTTTTTTATTTTAAATTAATAATAAATGCCTAAACACATTGTAATCTAGAAATTTCAAGAAACATTTACTAATTATAATACTCCGTAATAAATAGATAGTATGAATTCATTGAAAACTAGATTGAACACAATTTTAAATTTATTTACTAACTAAAAATCTCAATATAAGCATGTAAAAAAATATTCTTAATTAAAATGCAGTTGACCAGGTCATTGACGGGTTCCAACGGTTAGCCCTTTACCCATTTGCTTGTCCAGGTCAACACTCGGTACAGTTTTCGGAACAACAACAAAGCCTTATCCCACTAGGTGGGGTGGGCTACATGGATCAAACGACGTAGATTTTCGGCACATTGACCGTAAAATCATTCCAAGCAAAAATTTGAGCATATAAGATAACTGTATAAGTAGAAAGCATACCTAAATTGAGTAAGACATTCAACTACTCTGCAGATTTAAGCAATTCCAGTTCACCATTCTTCATGTTGAAAAACACTTCAATATCGAATGTTTTGAGCTCATCTGTATCCACATCTTCCGCCTTGAAGGTTGTGCGAAATATTAGATCTGCCCCATAGACCGACTTAATAATTTCCACAAGGAGGAAACCCTTGTTCTGCATCGACACAAGTTACAACAAGATTATCAACATCAACAACAACCCTGGTAGAATGTCACATAAAGTAGGATTTAAGGTGTACCCAGACCTTACCCCTACTTGAAAGTAGAGAGGTTGCTTCTATGAGAAGCACTGTCAAAGTAAACCAACAAAATAGAAAAAGAGGCACAAACAAAGTGGTAGCAAAGAGAAAAGAGTACACTAAGGGCAATGCTTACACACAAAGACAAAATATTATAAGTATATGTCAAATGTAAGTTACAAAATCCAATGAAATATTGTTCATTGGATAAAGGGCAAGATAAACATACCTCCCTTTCGGCCTTTTCTCTTAGAAAAAATCTAACGGACATATAGCACAGGGATAAATAATATGAATCTTCATTCACTGCATATATATCAAGTTTGGCCGAGCGAAGAGCGGCATCTGGGGCAGGAAGGTTTGGGAAGAGTTCCATATCAACACCCTAATTAGAACCAAAATTAACAGCACTTTCAAGTTTAAATAAAGCTACATTGGCTTTGGATTAAAATAAAGTACAAGTAACAGTTAAGTGAGGTACCTGTGCGTCCTCCCCCGGCTGGAGTGCTTGGTCTAGGTCAGATTCATATTGAATGTCAGTTCCAGGTAAGATTCAATGTTTCATACAAAAAGAAGATCAACTTATTAAATTACCTGCTCTCTCTCTAAATATTTCAACTTCAGTTTCGGCATTGCGAAGACTAAACCCGACTTGGGTCTGATAGATTTTGGATTCTCCTGTAACTTCATCTTTAGCCAGGAAGGTGGTGAAAAACTCATCACCTGCTCGATAAATCGACTTGATAATCTTCTCTAATGTCAGTTTCTTTTTCTGCATTGGAACATTGGGCGTCAAACAATACCAAAGATGGAACCCTTGAAACAAGAATTTTAGAAGGTAACCTGTGTTTGGTTCTCTTTGGAAATTGCATAGTTGAGGGAGAAAATGCATCCAAAAAGGGAAGGGACCAGTCTCTGTGAACTTGAGAGCATAGGTGTTCAAGATCAAAAACGACCTTTACCATACCACCACAAAGAATTCTAGACGGATCCGGAAAAGTTTCAATATCAAACCCCTATCATCGAAAATCAGATTCTATAAATTTACTTCAAAACTAGAAGGAAACTGATATGATTTGATAAGGTTTAATAAAAATACATCGCTTATCGAAATCTCTTCGAAAAACTTGACGCATGCTTCTTCAAATTCATCAGCTTCGATTTCAGCCCTAGATTTTATAGGCGGAAGGCATTCGACAAAATCAATAGCCTGATGAAAAAGATTAGATATCAAACCCCAAACGCCGAAAATAAAAATCGAGAATTTGATTGTAATCTAGGACAAACGGTTAGAATTAGATCAGATTAAATAAAATTAAATTACCTCGCTTTTGGTAAACTCGTCGCAGGCTTCTTCGGCTTGGATTTCAACCCTAGCTTTTTTAGGTGGAGGCGGTTGGGGGATAGAAAGACATTCGCCGAAATCTATTGCTTCTTCAGCTTCGATTTCAACCCCAGCAGCTTTTTTAGGTGGAGGCGGATGGGGAGAAGAGACACATTCGCCGAAATCGATAGCCGGAACAAATTTCGCCGTCATCGTTTATCTGCACAAACCCTAGAACCGCAGTGACCAATTTTCCCGTACTCTACTCCTTCGATACCCGGAACAAATTTCGCCCTCATCTTTTCATCATAAATATAACTAGTGCATCAGCCGTTGGCACAGAAATACTACGTAAAACTTATCCTAATTGATAAAGGGTTGGAAATATATTAAGGGTTGGAAATAGATTAGAGTTACCGTTTTAAAAAGACTATAAAACCCTGTTTGACATCATCGTTAGTTATTAGGATTAGCGTTTTGAAAAGACTATCCGACGGTAGCCTTTAGAGTTAGCGTTTTCGGATTTAATCTACACCATTTAAATTTTATCCAAAACGCTAACGCTAATCGAAAACGTTGTTCCCAAACAAGGCCTATCTACAGTCAACGTTTAGCGTTAGCGTTTTCAAAGTAATCTGCACTGTTAAAATTTTATCCAAAATGCTAACGCTAATCTCTAATGCTATTCCCAAACAGGCCCAAATAATACTCCGTATATAAAATGTTAAAAATTAAGATTATTACTTCCTCAGTCTCTAAATATTTAGAGTAAATTTCATAATTGATCCTTTATAATAGGGGGGTTTTCATATTTAGTCCTCTATTATCAAATATTATTCCCGTAGTCCTTTTTTTAAGGTTACCTTTCCACAAATGGTCCTTTTTTTGATCTTCTGTCGTGTTGGTATTAAATTAAAGGCTAAAAGTGTAATTTGACATCAACGTTATGTTTAGTGACGTGTTCTGATATTAGTTAAGCGGATAACACAAAAATAATGACTATGGCTGTGGGCTAGGGTTCTGACGAAAGACCAGTAGACTATGGTTGTAATAGAAAGCGACTGTAATTCACAAACGACGCAAACGGAACAGCCATTGAAATTGTGTATGACAAAAAAGATATATTATCATTGTGAAATTACACTTTTAGCCCTCAAATTAACACCAACATGATAGAAGATCAAAAAAGGACTATTTGTGGAAAGATACTCATAAAAGAAGGACCAATTGGATAATACTTGATAATAGAGGACTAATTAGAGAAACCCCCTGTTATAAAGGACCAATTATAGAATTTACTCAAATATTTATCACACTTGTATTTCCAAGATAAAATATCAAACTTTTAAAATTCATTTTACTTACATATTGGTATAGAAATAAAAAATAAAATTTACATATCAAAAAACTACTCCCTTTGTCCCCCAGTTTTTGTCCACTTTTGACTTTTGTAACTGTTCATCTAAGCACTTTGACTCATCAAATTCTCTCAATGTGTAAGCCTAAATATAGTCATGTGTGATCTTGTTTAATTTGTCTTAACATATAGATTATTAATATATAATTTCTATAATTTTTTAATATACAAATTACAAGATAAAATGGATTAAAGAAGTGCATTGGATTGTGTGTAAAAATGAAAGTGGACAAAGATTCTGGGATGGAGGGAGTACATAAAAAGTTCTTCGAAATAAGAAGTGTCAAGAATATTTTATTTTATCAAATAACCAATGAAAATGTAGAAATAAATAAAAATTCTGTGACTACTGAAAAAGCAAATGTTGCAAATATTTAGGCACGGGGGAGCATATAAATAGTAGATACGTGTGATTTGCATTTATATATCTTATGATAGCTACAGCCTACATGGTCTTTTTATCACATTCAACAAATATCTCAAGTAATATACTTCACCAGTAAGAGGTATATAGTAAATTCTACGAAAAGTGGAACGTTTCTTTCTCGTTCAAATCCCAAGTTCTTTTAGGTAGTGTTTGACAACTAGCATTTCATTTCAATTGATGCATTTCAATTCCAAAATTTGAAATTCTGAATTTCAAATGATAAGGGGAGGTGCTTGGATTTCAAATTAAGCTTTGTTTTGAATGTAAAGAATTTGATTCAAATCCAAATTCAAAATGCTTAAGTTTCCCAAACATGGAATTTAAGCCAAATCTGGATTTGAAATCCAAATCCATGTTCCCAAACATACCATTATTGTTTTTCAAACAAATTTTTGTGGAAACTGAGCGTACTGCGTACGTCAAGTTTCGCTTCAAACCATCCGAAGAACATGTTTTGGTTTAATATCTTCCTTGCTATGATTTTGTCCAACGCTTCATTATCAGTAAATATTATGCTCTGCTTTTGGAGTTTTGGTAAGTGAAAGGCTAGACATTGCACTGGAAGGTCGAGATGTTGTATTTGAAAGCCAAAGACTATCCAACACGCCTCAAATGTTATGTTGGGATAATTTTGACTTATTTTAAGAATTCCCAAATCTACTCAACTTTAACTGTTATTTTAGGTCTTTTCAACTTTTCTGCATCTGATGTTTCACATTCCTCTAGATGATCTCTCTTAACACCTCCAACTCTTTTTTGCTCTTCAAGGTCAATAATGGGCTGAGTGTCATAAACTCAAACTGTAATAGCCATTGTATTCAGTTTTTTGGATGGGCAGGTAAATTAGAATACAATTCGGTAGAAATTTTTAAGAGGCTTTGATGACAGCCTTTTGTATTTTCCAATGCTGAGTTATTACAATTGGCTTTGGAAGATATGATTCGTATCTTGGCGTGGCAAACTGGAAATTGACGCCGTGGTTGCAGCCATGGCGGTCTTATCTTTTTATTTCCCAATGGAAAAAATATTTCTGAGCCTATATATTTCATATTTCTAATTTCTAGTATTTCATTAAATTGAAATAGAATTTTTCATGAAATTGAAATAGTATTTGAACTTTTTTGGTGTCCATATCCAAACCTCTTGAACACTGAATATGTGTGGAGATTTTCGTGTGGATGAAGGGGAAGGTTCAAGGAATGTAAGGGAGAGAGTAATTGAAGCCTGGGCCAAATTGCATGGATTGTGATGCATTATATTTAAACTTTTGACCATTTTTTATTGTAAAGTTGATGGGTTGTGAACTTGTGATGCATTTGTTTGTTTGTGATTGTAATTGAAGCCTCGATCAGGTTGTATGGATTGATGCCAAGTGTCCAAAACTTGTACTAGCCATTGGATTATGTATTTTTGGCGGAAGAATTGGAATTGGATTGGGCAGAATTTTTCATTCTGCTTATATATATATATATATATATATATATATATATATATATATATATATATGTATGTATGTATATGTATGTATAGTAGATAGTATATATTCATTTACAAACAAACAATTAAGTTTTTATTCTGAAATAACATAGTGTTTATTTCAAACATGCTTAGAATAGTATTCATTTTAAAATAATATTGTGTGAAATTCTAAGCCTAATCAGTATAGTATTTGTTATGAAACATTATACCGTTAATTCTGAAATAACATAGCATTCATTATACGGTCTTTATCATTGATGGTTTACTTAGTGATAGCATGATCATCATTATTTCTTTTAGTCATTCTGTTCACTTTAACTTCCACAAATTGTCATCGGCAATACTTTTTAGATCTTTCATTATCAATTTTAATTTTTAAATAATAATAAAAAATATAGAATAAAATATAGGTGTAAAACTGCATATGCACAATGAAATTAAAATCTAGATAGAAAAATAGAAAAAAATAAATTAAAATATTCATGTTGACCTAAAGTGTCTAATACGGAGTATATAGTATAAAATTTTATTATTTTAAACATCATTGACCGGGTCGTTGACTCCCAATTTAACTGGTTGAATCAGACAACCCTTGAACCAATACCGCGTCCAGGTCGACGTCCGATTCAGTTTCTCATAACATTGCCTAGTGGACCATCGTCACTCAAGCCAAACGTAACTTAGACTCTGATACGTAACGGTAGATCGTGCCTCTCTACGATCCACCGTCACGGTCTTCCATAACCTCCAATCACAACAGTCAGCCGTGGCCCGTCAAACAAATTCACATGCATTTTTAACTATTCAAGTAGAAAAAATTAAATACTCCGTAACAATCTTTTTCCAGTATAACTAACGTTGTGCCTGCTTCAACAATTTTTTAGAGGGAAGATAAAAGAAGATAACAAATACTCCATCATTTTTTTTAGTTCGGTTAGAGGAGGGTGTGAGATAAATAAATATAAAAAAGGACTTCTGTGTATTCTCATTTTTCTAACAATAACTCCCAAGTATATTTTAGATAATGTAGCATCTAAGATATTTTACCAGAAAATCAAAGGTACCTCAAAACATATTCAAAATTATGTAGGACCTGAAAATTGCTACAAGAAAATCAAGAAGGCCCCAAAGCAATTTTTTACTCCTAAAACTTCTTTCCATTTCAATTTACAATTAAGTTACTTTATACCCTAGTAAGTTTATCATTTATATAATGCACGTTATTTGACTTTTTATAAAATACTTTATATTTCTTTAATCGTTTGACCCCTCGTAGTTAACCAACCAAAACTAAACATGTTTAAAAAACACATTTTGATGTACTTTTTGAATCAACATTCCGTGGTTTAATTCCACCTTGATGGTGTAAATTATCTCGACCGGTATATCATTCTTAGCAACGTGCAAAACCGATAAACTAGTCTAACAGCATACACCAAAATACAAACAGAGAATTTTGGAGTGGAAACCAGAAAACCACGGGTTTTTTTTGGAAGTACCTTGCGAGAGAGAGGAAGTATAAGAAACATCTTTTCTTTTCTTTTCTAATTAATTGAACCAAACATATCATAAAGAGTACATAAAGGAAAGTTTAATGCGTGGTCCATCATAATAGAGGAAAGTTAAATGCATAGACTGTTCAAAACATTCCAAGAATTGTACAGCATCAAGAGTACATAAACAAGCGTAAGGTCCATCATCTATCCGCAGAAACCACAGTTCATCATAACCAAACAAGCACGAGTTTTCACATTCATAGTTTCAACATTTGCCCCATGATTAGACATTCAACAATCATTTAATAATCACTCCAGCCAAAAGATCACCTGAAAACACAAGTTCAATAAGTGTCAAAAACACAAGTGGCCATTACTTCCAAATCATTAATTACGCATTATTATTGCGAATCAGACTACTGGTTGCTAGAAGAAGCTCGAGGATTGATGATGAACAGAANGCCTTTTATGAAAAGAGTGTCTCATGATGTTGAGGGAGATCTTTTGGGCGAGGAGTTTAAAGGGTATGTGTTCAAGATCATGGGGGGGGGGGGTAGGGCTGTGACAAGCAGGTTCCTATGAAGCAGGGAGTTTTGACTCCAGGACCTGTTTGACTTTTACTTCATAGAGGTACTCGTTTTAGAGGGGTATTGAAGTTGTAATGGAGATCAGAAGGAAATCAGTACATGGGTAAATAGTCAGCCCCGACCTTTCAGTCCTGAATTTAGTCGTTGTGATAAGGAGTGTGAAAGAGACCGTCCTGGCCTGACTTGACTGGCGTGGAGAAGCCACGGATGAGGGGTCCAAAGAGGGCTTCAAATATTTGGAAACTCTTCAACCTCTCTAAGGAAGATGATGTGAGGAAGTACGTAAACACATACCTCAGAACATTCACTAAGAAAAAGGGTAAAGAGGTCAGCAAAGCTACAAAAATGCAGAGACTGATGACTCACTCCATTGATGCCTCAGACAAAGAGAGCTATAATTGCTCAGAAGAAGGATTGTGAAGGCTGAGGCAAAAGCTAATGAGTACCAGAAGCTGCTTTCTAACAGGTTGAAGGAGCAGAAGGAGAAGCAATTTGAGAGTTTATTCAAGAAGAGGTCGAGACTCTCCACTGTACTTCTGAACCCTCCATTGATGCCCCTAATAGACATCATTTCTCTCATTGCTATTTTGAACTCTTACATTCTTTTGAAGTTTTTCAGTTTTGAGTTTTGGAGAATTGCTTAACAGTTAGTGGATGAGACTTTAGATTGCACTATGCTGTTTTCTGTTGCTGTTTATCTCAAACTATTATTATTCCTAACATGGTAATGACACGTGTTCAAGAAGTGTGTAGGAATTTTTTTGGAACAAGTAGTTTCTCCTGAGCCTAGATAGATGGGCAATTTCAGCTTGGAACCAGTAGTCTCCCCTAAGCACTAAAAGACTCTCCTAAGCACCAATTCATTGTATGCCTCATCTTGGCAATATGATGAAAAGTAATTGAATATGCAGAGGGCCAAGAAGAACACTCACCAGCAAATTACAGAAACTGCATCACTTTTGAGGTTCATATTCAACGTCCTATAACAATGAATTAAAAGGTTACTTGTCAATGCTATACATTACTTTGTAATAATTCAAAAACAAAATACAAAAAATACCTTCGGTGACCAAAATTCAATAAAAGCCGATTTGGCTTTTCAATCTTTATTTTTTTCTACTCTAATATATCCCTGGTCACCCTGAAGTTTCCCTAGCGAGTCTCGACATAGCCAATATGTACGGCCATCTTGATCCACCCCATGATCAACAATGAGTACACAATGTCTCACATTTCCCACTTGTGGAGGTGGGGCATATATTTCCTGTAGTATTATTTTGAAAATAAAACACACAAAAAAAATATATTTATATGTCCATTGCTTATAAACAACCACAAACTATCATTGAACGTTAATTTAAACACTTACGTATTTGCCCAGCAAAGACAAAGCCGCGGTACTCTCTAACGCAGCAACAACTGGTCCATCATCCAACAGCTTCAAGATATCTTCGTCCTTGATACGCTTTGAGCCTACTTCCTCACAAGCTGAGCTTACAACTTTGACCATGTCACTTTTTTGCACCTGTAAGGATAAGGAAAGTCTAAGCAATGAATTTGATGTAACTTATAGGGATCGTATGAGAATACTAAGTAAAGTACCTTCTGGTGATGTTTCACCTTCCTACCGATAAAAGGACAGTCATTTTCATTCGGTAATCCTGTTTCTTTAAGAAACTTGTCGACTTTCTTAAAATGTTGAACGCTATCTCCGAAGTTGTTAATAAGAAACTGTGGAGAAAGAGAACGCTTGCTACCCGTCACTTTGTTCACCTTCCCTTCAACTCCCGCAGCCATGTGAATTGCCCAGCATATATCTACAAATCATTAAAAATAAAAAAAGAACTCTAAAGAAATAACAAAACTTATAAACAAGCACAATCTCGAATACCTTTTTTTTTTATCTCGCACGGGGGAGATGATCCACTCTCTCCATATATTGGTCATGCTTTAATTGAAAAGCAATTTAATAGCGGAGTTGAAGGTATTCTGTAGAAGATTAGACAAGTAGTATTGTACAATTAGAGAATACTTTCCTAGAGATACACATAACTTTTCTATTCTTCATTTTAACTTTCATATTCTGGATTCTTTTAAGATGCCAAAGCTTTCATAAACACTGAAAAATTTAGGATTTAATATCTCATATGGAATAAGTTATATGGAACATTGTTCTACACTAATGCAGTGTGAAAAAATAATGTATGGGTGCAACAGTGGATGTTCTTATGGTCTCAACCATTAACAGAGTGGATGTTCTTATGGTCTCCACCATTAACAGAATGAAAAACCATATCCTATTTCAAAGAGTTTAAAACAAATGGGTTTCAGAACAAAATCAATTTCAAATCAGTCATGAGTGAATTTCATAGTTATTCAAACGTAAACCCATAAACCCGTTTCAAAAAAGAGGCATAGACCAATAAATGGAGGATTAATATGATTCTGTAAAAAATTGATCCGGAGTATATACATTTGAATGGAGGAATTGAAGAAGATGGTGTGTTAGTCCTACCTTGACGGATCGCAAGTCAGAGTTGATTTTGTGGGCTGCTATTGAGGAGAAGTGAACAAAGAAGGCAAAGCCCGGGGACTAGAAAACCAGAGAAGGGAGAGCCAAGAAACTGATAGCAAATTTATATTAAGTGGTGACAATGAGGAAGAAAGGGATCTGAAGGAGAGAGTAGGGTTTATCACATAAAAAATACAGAGTATGTCAATTGATAAGGATAAATGAGATAGGAAGAAGCAAAGGCAAAAAATTAAAATTGGAACCATTTGTTCTTTTTAAAGGCTCACTACAAATTACAAGTATAAATAATCCAAAAATCATCCACACATATAACTATATAAGAATAATTTGAATCTTATACAATTCGAATATTACCCTATACATATTCGCATTAGAATAAATTCGAACAATCAAACACTATTCGAATTCATATTCAACTAAATCAAATATGAATCATCCTTTTCGAATACGAATGCCAAAATGAAAAAAATATTTGATTTCTATACACCCCTACAGTACTTTTTTTAAGTCAACCTTGTGTACCTTGAGAAATAAAGAAAGTTTTTTTAATTATAGGCTATAAATCACGGTGCATGTGGAATGAATTAGCCAAATACGAGTTAAAACTTGATACATTTTTATGGTAACTATATGACTTGTTCTTTGAAATATAAAGGAAAATAAACAATGTATTGAAGTAAATAACTTGAGTTCTGGTCCTTAACAAGATGAAAGATGTAATTAGGTTTGTCAACAAGTATTTTAAAAACAGATTTCCCTACCCAAAAAAATTGTCAAATGAAAAATCAGTTTTCACATTATGGAGTGTTATACCTTAGCCATATAGTGAACAACAAAATAAAACTAATAATTACTAATTGCCTTTATTAAAGTGTTTGACTAGCTCTGACTTATGGTTCTTTAACTACACCTACAAGCAATTAGTTATAACAATGTAATTACCAATTGTGTTCATATGGTCTCCACCATTTACAGAAAGAATAAGCATATCTTGCCCAAGGTCATATTTCGAACAGTTTAAAACAAATGGGTTTCAGAATAAATTCAATTTCAAATTAGCCTTGAATTTAGGTCATAGTTATTCAAACATAAATCCATAATCCATTTCAAGGAGAGGTATACACCACAGAAAGGAAGCTTCATATGATTCAGTGATATGTGTTTAAAAAGAAGAGAAGGACTTCAATACCAGGAAGTCCAAGAAGGAGCTCAGAGTTGAGGAGCTATGGTCGGTGACATGAGATCGAGCGTCGAAGGAGACCTCAACCAAAAGAAGAAGAAGCTGCGAGGAAGAAAAATTGAACTAACCCTAGTCTGTGTTTGCCTAACTTGGCTTTGGGCAGATCTACAAATTGTTCTGTAGAATATGCGTTTGAATGGAGGAAGGGAAGAAGATTGTGTGCCAGCCGTATCTTGACGGATAGCAAGTTGAAGTTGACGTTGTGGGCTGCAAATGAGGAGAAATAAACAGAGAAAGCGAAGCTCAGGGAAGGGAAAGCCAAAAAACTGATAGCAGAGGAAATGATACTTCAGTGGTGACAATGTGGAAGAAAGGGATCGCAAGGAGAGATTAGGGTTTCCAGGGCCTCAAATTGAAATTTATGTTTTGATAAGGATATACTGTATGAGATAGGTAGAAAGAAGCTAAGGTGGGAAACTTAAATTCGAACCATTTGTTCTTTTTAGAGGCTCACTACCAAACACATGAACAAATACTCCATAAATCATCTAAAATCATTTACGGATAATTTGAATCTTATACGAATCCGGAAATGCTAGTCACAAAGAAAAAGTTCACAAACTTCACAAACTTGTCTTTTGTGTATTTTAAATTAAAATATCTTTTATTACATGAGTGCATCTTATTTCTAGCAAAATATTAAAATGACAAGTTTGTGAATTTTGTGAACTCTTTGTTTATGAGTCTAGCATTACTCATACGAATCGGATATTACCTCGTTCATATTCGTAGTCGAATCAATTTGAATAATAAAACACTATTTGAATTCAACAAAATTAAATATGAATCATCTTTTTCAAATACGAATAAAAAATATTTCATTCATATACGTCCCTACGGTACTTTTTTTAGTCAATGTCCCTTGAGAAATAAAGCAAGTTTTTATTTTTAATTTTTATTATAGCCTATAAATCACTGTGCATGAGGTATTATCAACTAGCTAATCACTTGTTATTTTTTTATTATAGACTATAAATCACTTGTTCTACACCTACAAGCAATTAGTTATAACAATGTATTACCAATTATTAGTAATGAATGAAATGGAGAATAATCAGAGTGAAATTTGTAACACATTCGTAGTAAAATGACATAATATCTTGATTTGAGATTGTAGAGGGAAAAAAAGATCGAGATTTACACCGATAGAATAGAAGTACCCCAAAGTGTGTTGATGATACCCCAAAGGTTTACACATACATCTTGTGTCAATGTATGTACAAGATTGATGGTCTACATTGACTAGAAATGTAAGTGTAAACCTTTGGAGTACGTTTTGGGATACAATCTTTGGGTACACCTAGCATGATTGTTATAAATATTACGTAGTATATACAGAGTAAAATTAAATTTTCCGGAGTAATTTGTTTGACTAAAATGGATACTTACGGGTTACCCATGAAGGAACTATATGTCTTTCTGACTCCATCCATTTTCATCTGTCCACCTTGGTTAACTCTTCAAAGAATGCAGCCTGAATAAAACAGAGGAAAAAAACAATTTTGAAACAAAAACATCATACTCTATCTAACATCGAATTTCAGCGACAAAAGCAGCGGATTACAAAAGTTATTAAGAGGAACAGAGTCCAACACATCCGGCTGCGCCAAAGCGCATCTAGCAAACGTATGAGCAATAACATTCAAATCCTTATGCACGAAATTAAATGATATCTTGTAAAAAAACTCGACAACTCAAAACAAGAAACCTCGTATTCAGAAAAAATCTCCACATCCCGTACACCGTGATTCTTGGGCCAAGACAACAGAACTTCCCTAAAAAAGAAAAAAACCAAAAAAGGAACTATTATAAGAATTTCAATAAAACGAAGTCGGTCAACAAAATCTCCATTCAAAACTCGATGTTATTGAATCGGGTTTCGAGTAAAAAAGAGATCAGATCATTTTTTGTGAGGTCTGCTTGGCAAGATTAATAAATGGAGGATTACCTATTAGAATTGGAATAATAATGCGTAAATATCTAGAAGGAAGTGGTTATGCATTGGTATTATCTCTACCGTCAATAGTAATAGACTTATTAGGATTATTATACTTAATATGGTCTAATTGAATGAGGTGAAACTAGTTCTTGAATATTGAACTAGATCTTTTTTTAGTGGTTTGAAATATATAATCAATTTTAATTTAATACCAAGTAATATGAAAATAATATGGAGAATAATTAGGGTGAAACTTGCAACACATTCATAATAAAATTGCAAGAATATTTTAATATGAGATTGGAGTGAGGAAAAAAAAGAAACGGAAAAAAAAGAATTGAGAATTACACGGATAGAATAAGAGTAGTGCTTATTGAAAGTGGGTCCGTGCCATCAACACGGTGAACTAAAAAAATGGTCAATAACAAAACAAGTGACAAAAGCATAATATAACTTGCGAAATTGCGGTTAAGGGGAGATTTATTTGGGGGAAAATTTAATAACTATATACACCAGCAACTAAAAGTAAAATTCCCAATCCCTGAAAAAATTACAGGGGAAAAAAATTAAAGTGCCCTAAATAGTATTTAAACTTTTTTATTCTCTAAATAGTACGAAGTACTTGAATAATGACCAGTGATGAGAACAATGTCCAGTGATGATGGACGTTTAGTTTGAAGAATGTCACTATTTTTTAGTCCAGAATAAAGTCATTATGTTTTAGTATTACTTAGGTAAATTCCCTTCATCTTTCTTCATTGGTCAAATGGGGGATCAGGTGGGTCAAACGGGAGGGGCATATTCAATGGAATCGATTTCTCTAATTCCAATTTATTTTTTGGCACTACCAGTTCCAAATTCACATATTTTTGTGTTACCAAACAGTAAAATTGGAATGGTTGTCCCCAAATCTAGTTGCATAGTTTGAATTTTGTGTACCAAACGGAGTAAAATTGCATGAATATTTTAATACTTCCTCTGTCCCATAAAATCTTTCCTTTTTGAAAAAAAGTGCACCCTTAAAATGAGTAATTTTGGAGTTATTTTATAATTTTGGAGATTGGAGTGAGGGATAAAATGAAGAATTACAGGGATAGAATAGGTTAAGGGGAGATTTATGATTTTGATGGAAAAATTACTCCATACGTTCCTATTTTGATCACAAAATGAGAATTACGATGTAAAATCCTATAATATTTGAAATTATTTTATTTACAAATTAGTACATCAATAAGAAATAAAAAATTATATATTAAAAAACTACGTTCAAAGTTTTACAAAAAAAAGAGGCGATATAGAATATTTTATTTTATCAAATAATAAAACACACAAAAGTTATCGAGAGGAGATAGAAAATAAAATTATAAACAAAATGGGTACAAAGGGAGTAATATTCCCTCCGTTCACAAATAAACTTCTCGTTCACTATTCATAGGGTCAAACTTTATTCACTTTGTTGACCTATTTTCGTCACTCATTTGATAAAATAATGTAGTCATGTCACCTCTAATTTTGTAGATCTTTTGATATAGTTTTTTAATATGTAATTTTTATTTTTAAATTTTACTTCATTTTTCATATAAAATAATTTGAAAATAATTTGAGTCAAACATCGTAACGTGCAACGAAAAGTTTATTTGTGGACGGAGGGAGTATATAAGAGCAATTAAAATTGGATTAAGCTATTTGTACCCCAAGGGTTTGTACTCCATTTGTACACCGTAGGTGTGCACCAATATTTTGTGTTGGTGTAATGCTAATTTTTATTAACGCAACAACACTTTGTTTCAGTGTAAATTTTTGTTAACGTACTAACAATTTTTGTCAGTGTGAACTATCAAAATGTTGTGTATACAATTTTTGTCAGTGTGAACTATCAAAATGTTGTGTATACAATTTTTGTCAGTGTGAACTATCAAAATGTTGGTGTATACCTTTGGTGTAAGTTTGGAGTACAAATTTTGGTGTAAGTGTAGCATGGGCCATTAAAATTCCCAATTCCTATTAAAAAAAAGGGGTAGGGGAAAGTAAGGCCTATCTAAACCTAGCCTGGCTCTGGTTGCTGTTTACGCTGACACACACTGAGTTCAATTTCAAAAATTACAATAGATTTGAGAGATCCTGACAGATTTATACCCATAAAAAGAAGAAAAAGAGAAGAAAAAATATGTATACTACCATACTATCAAGGCTGCTTAGATCTATGCATCTAAAACAAACAAAAATAAATAAATAAATGAAATAAATAGAGAAAGAAAGATGGGGGGAACCACCGAATAGGGATCGCGATTCACATACCTCTTCTTCGTCCATTGACAGTCTCTTTCTCTTCTTTCTTTCCTTCCTAATTTTGATGATCTGCAGATTCATGGCGATGATCTTTTTGTTTTTCCTTTGGATCTTCTTCTCTCTCCTTCTTCATCCTCTTCTTCTCCTTCTTTTTCTTCTTCTTCCGTGTATGAATGAATGGATGCGAATATTTTTAGGGTGGGTGGGTGGGCGGAGATGTTATTGCTTGCAATAAAGGCTCCTCATCCGTTTTATATCCCAAACTCGAGTCATACCCAAGCCAGTAAAATGCCTCTAAATCCATCCCCCTTTACTTTTTCTTTTCCTTTTTAGTGTTTAAACTTAAAAAAATATACCCATATTACAGACTTTACGTCACGGGTGCTCTTTACCCACTTTACGTCCCCACCCATTGTGCATGTCCCTCCCTCCCAAATTTAAATGATCTTCCGTCTTAAAATATTCTTCTCAATCGCTATTTATGTAGTTAAATTTTAGTTATTTTTACCTACTTTTGTTAATTTTTTAATAAAATAATATAGTCTTGTCACATCTTATTTTGTAGTTGTTTTTATGTAGTTTTTAAATATATTAATTTTATTTTTTAATTTTGCACATATAATCAAATAAATTGAATTGAAAATAAAATCGGTCAAATCTCGTAAACAGAAACAGAAAGAACATTTTAGGACGAATGAAGTACTATATAAATTTTTTCTTTTATTTCTATCCGAGTTTGTAAACAAAATCATTTTAAAAGTCGTGTATAATACTAATCACTTTTTTTAAAATACGTCTTATTATATGTTTTATATGCTAGCATATTATAAGTTTGATTTTTCAAAGATACGGCTATAATGAATATATTTATTTTTAATAATAAGAAAGACATTTTAAACTTTGAAATTAATAGAATTACACCATAAAGTTCTAAAATTTCAACAAGCCCTACGATTTATTGTTCATTCATTTTTTTATGTGTATCCAACGAATATCTTTCAATTTAATTTTATTCTGTACTTCCACAAAATGTACTCAAAGTAAAAACACATTATATTCTTAAAAATGAAGCTAACACTTAGAGTCTTAGACACAAATAAAGCATTTGAGACATGACAAAAATTATATTATTAGCCAATTTATGTTCTACAAAAGTGATTAAGTGCACATCATGAATTTTAAAGGACGATTTAAGTATCCTTATTATTTAAACATGAACTCACTAAATGATATTTTACACTATATAAAGTTGAGTAAAATTAAATTAACTTTATATTTTTATTTTTTAGAATGAAAAACATAGTTACGAACTTAGACTTTTTAGAATTCAGATCATACAAATGAAATCAAATTTTTATTTTTAAACGTGGATAAATATTTAATCTTAAGTACTAAATACAAAAATTGATCACACTTTCAAAATCTAAACAAATAGAAAATATATTATTGTGTACCATTCGCTAGAGCGAGTGCAGTGTTGGACTTGTAGTGCGACGAAATCAAAGAGAATGGTAGAGTGTGGTGACATTTAATTAACAAAGGATGTTGGATTGGTAGAAGATTGAACTACGCTCTGAATTTTAATATTTTACAATTGTTGAGTCTCCAAATTTTAAAGATTTAGGGAGTATATTATTTTTGCAGAAAGACAATCAAAAAATTGTTCTCATTCGAATTTTGGGATATAATACATATAAAATTCGTAAATACGTTTGGGGTCAAAATATGCGTATTATACATTGTCACATTAAAAATTTGTATTCAGAAGTATAATACGTGTATCTTATGTACGGGTGTACAATACGCGTATTATGTGCGAATAAGCTAATATAGTCTAAAAGTGCAGCCAGATGAACTCGTTGAGACAAAGGGGAGTACTTTAGGCTCAATATGGCTGTGAGCTAGGGTACGGTTGTGCAAAGACCTATGGATTGAGTGGTGGGCATATAACTTGATCTAGGTTAGTGTGAGGTGTGCCAATATGCTTGACGAATTGTACTCTATGAAATATGAATACACCTTGAAGCGTGAAAGAATGAATGTAATTGGGTGGATTCTAAATGATCTTGTTTTAACTTTACATTAATACTACCTCCGTCTCATTGTCTTTGTCCAGTTTTGATTTTTGGAACTGTTCATCTAAGCACTTTGACTCATCAAATTCTCTCAATGTGTAAACCTAAAAATAGTCATGTGTGATCTTGTTTGATTCGTCTTAACATATAAATTATTAATATATAATTTTTATAATTTTTTAATATACAAATTACAAGATAAAATGAATTAAAGAAATACATTGGATGGTGTGCCAAAAAGTAAGTGGACAAAGACAGTGGGACGGAGGGAGTATTTAATTATGATCTAGTTTCTCCAAGATTAAAGTTCATCATTTGATTCTTTCATTGAGAGTTGAAGCATAAACTCTCAAGCACGGTCATCATTTTTGATAGCCGAAGAAAAATCAAGAACGTTTTGTCTCATGTTGATCACACAAGGTTGGTTCACAATCGGCTAACTAAACAAAGCAAGGTGGACTGGAGGAGCCTTTGCAGGCTCGCCTATCTAGAACACGTGGTATGAAGCCCTGCTGCAGAACATAGTCTCCATATATTCGGCAATGAGACTCTTGAAGGTGGAACGTTGTGTGATATTGCCTTGTACACTTAAAAATAATTACCTAGTGGCTTAACACTTTTGAGCAATGACCAGTGACGGTGACCACTCGGCAGGCGATAGATGCTCTAGAGTTGGCGACAATTCATGATCTCTAGCAACAACTTGAGCATATGCAAGTGCATCAATACCGAACCAATCGAAACATATGGTCGTTTTGGAAAAACTAATGTAAAAAATTGAATTGAACCGTTATTATTTGGTTTCTGTTTTGATTTTCACACTAGTAAATAAGCCGAATCAAATAAACTGAACTTTCCTATACACTTCACTTTATGTGCAATGAGTATATGTGATATGCAAAAAATAATAAAAAAGTATAGGTTCAAATAAATGATCAGTCGATTAAAATTATTTTGCTTTAACTACTAAATATTTTGAATCGTATTATAAGCTTTAAAAACACTTAATAATATATATAAACACCAATAATCATCTTAATATGGAGATATTAAATTAAAAATTGATACGAGTAATTTATATAATTACATGAAAAACTTTGATATTATAATGAAAATAAAAGTATTATACCAAAAACACAAATACTCCGTAATTGATGTTTATTTACAAAGACTTTAGAAGTATTTGGAATGTCTTAAGTGTATGTTTTTTAGGCACTCGACTCATATTAAACGAACCAAAAAAACTAAACACAGGCTTACATTTGTTATTGGTTCATCAAATTAGTGTTGTTACAAATTTTTTAATGCTTATAAATTTTTATTTTTAAAAACAAGAAAATATTGAAAATAATCAAAATAAAATCTGCATAAGACCAAACCGAATAACAAATGATTTGCATATTTTGGTGTGAAATCGAACCAAATCAAACCGCTAACTTACATTTTGTTTGGTCTTTGTTTTTAGATTTAAGCGGAAGAGCTGAAACCAAACCCACCCTAAACGTATAATGAATGGAGGATTATCTATTTATCAGTCATAGAAATGAGTAGAGAAATGCTAGAGTCACAAACATTTTGGTCACAAAATACACAAACTTACTATTTGTGTATTTAAATATCTACTTTTTAATTATTTAACATTATTTTATTCACTTGGTGAGGTGCACAAATACACAAAGTTGTGTATTTTGTGACCGAAATGTTTGTGACTCTAGCATTTCTCAAATGAGTAACATTATTCTTTCTGGTCAATTTATTGGAAATCAGTAATCTGCAAGAAAGACTATTGCACAACGCATAGAATTCTTAACATAGACTTTTCGAAATGTAAGAAAACATTTTTTTAAAAAAAGGGAAATGCTAGAAATGTTTTTGAAAAACAAATTTTACAAGTCACATGTTCTTTTTCTTAATATTCTGCAAAAAAAGCGAGAAAATATAAAATTTTTATTTTGCGCATCCAAAAAGAAATTTGAAAGCTTCATTTTGGGAGACACTAAGATTAAACTGAAATGCCAAATTAAATCTAACTTATTTTCCCCCCTCAATTCACATCTTCATACCCAGCTTTGAGTATAAGCTCTAAATTTAAGCTTTTCTGAAACGACAATCCTATAGTAGAGCTTTTTTGGGACTGCTGATTCATTAAAAGGCAATGGCAAACAATAATGAAGCAATATATGAAAGAAACTCTACTAAGTAAATAGAGACAATTAATGTCAAAATCTCAAGCAGACAGCTAAAGTACATAGCTCATATGAAATAAATAAAAACACATAGCATTATAGAAAAGCTAAACAGACAAAGTTTAAAAGCAATCCTGCCTTACATTGTATGAACATAAGACAGAAACTCTAAAAACATGAGGGAATTCGACAACTTACACAAATGAGGTCTGAGTTCAATCTTCTTCCTCTTTGTTCTTCTTTTTCTTCTTCTCTTTCTTCTTCTCGCTTCTACTAGCATCTTCTCCATCAGCATCCGACTTGCCATTTTCAGCGTCTTTGTCTTTCTTCTCTTTCTTCTTCTTCTTTTTCTCGGACTTTTCAGCGTCTGGGGATGCGACTTCATCTTTTACTTTGACTTTCTCTTCGTCTTCATTGCCTTCCTTTGCCTTCTTCTTTTTCTTCTCTTTCTTCTCACTCTTGACTTCATCTGCCTTTTCTTCCTCCTCTTCTTTTGCAACCTTTGGTTTCTTGGCAGCATCTTGGGAGGCAGGGATGTCGCTGTAGATTTCATCCAATTTACGCTTTTGCCCCTCTGCGTCTTCCTCTTCACCTTCCTTTTGGTGCTTCTTCTTCTTTTTCTTCTCTTTCTTCTCAGCCTCGACCACCGTGGCACTCTCCAGCAGAGCTGGTTCAGCAGGAGCAGCAGCCATTCCGGCAATCATGGAGTCCCCTCCAGTGGGCAAAACAAGATTCCTCATCCATTCGGCTGGAGTGTTCTCATTTGGTTTCCCATGCTTGCTCAG